TTTAAAGAGGGCATGGATAAACAAAGCCTGGTTTTTGGCAAGAGACGGGAGCTGGGATGGAGATATATGGGAAGTGGGGAATAGAGGAGGAAGGAGAGAAGATAGATACTTCAGCCAGGGATGCTTCCCAGGAGTCTTCTTAAATGTTTGGGGCAGTTGAAGAACTGAGTTTATGTCTTGATTTGGCCCCTTGGCTCCTCTTCTAGACTTGAAAATAGCTTGAGTTCTGAGCAGAATCACAGCTTTATGGAGCCACTTTGCCTCCATTTTTCTTCTTCCTATTTACTGCTCCTTCCTTCTTTCTTCCCAACTCTTTTTAATGGCTGTAAAGAGAAGGAAGTTGTTGTGGCAGCTCTTATCTTGATTCTTTCTGTCTTTGAAATCCAGCTTCTTATCCCAGGAAAAGCTTTGAAGACCCTACAGACTCCTGGCCCTATTTTCTCTCTGCCAGGCACTCACTGTGCCTGGAAGTTAAAAGAAAGAAAAGGATTAATGGCCTTATTTTGCTGACTCCATTTTAATTCAACCCTGAAACAAAAGGTAGATAGGAAAACAGTAAAGAAATAAAGGTTGGGCAAATAAATAACTGTTCTGTTTTTGAGAAAATCTTTTGATGACAATTCTCAAATTGGATAAGTAGGATTAGCACTTTATTTCATAAGCCATCTGTCACTGTAAGTTCAGTAAATCAAATAGCAGATATAAAAGTCTCTAAGTGATATGTTATTCTACAAATGATAAGAGCAATAGCTGTCATTTGGGTATTGCAGAAACTGGAAATTGGGCTCAGAAGAATCAATATCCTGATGGTCTAGTTGCTATACCCTAAAATCTAGTCACCATACCAATATCCTTTAAATTTCTTTTATCACATCAGTTCCCTATTCTAGATATTTCAACCTCTCCCCATTTCAAATATTTTCTGTCTTCCTACATATTTTATTCTAAACTTACATTCCTGCAAATTTTTAATTGAGCTTTCAAAGTCCACCTCTAGTTTCCCACCATCCTTCTATAAGCTCTGTGCCCGTAAAAGCATATGCCTATAAATACACAAAGATCAGCCTTTTATGCTCTTTGCCTTCTTTGGATCTGATCCCTTTCCTCCAGAATGTGCTGTTTTCTACCCACCTTCACCTGCTCCACAATAGCTCAACATCTTGGCTCAGATCCTATAACTTCAATGCAGCCATCTCTGAGTGTAGCCTAATTGATATTTCTATCCTCCATCCTTCTGCAGCTCTGAAAAGACTACACAGTCTAGCTTTTAATTGTATATACTTGCTAACTCTTAACTAACATAACATGTGAAAGAGGCTTACAGTCTAAATAGCATCACAGTGTCTAGCATATAGTAGTCACCTAATAAATATTCACTCATTCATTTATTCATTTGGTCTTTATTATTATTGCATATTGATTGTTTTCTCTCCAACAAGGGTGGCAGCTAATTGAAGAAAGTGACTATTTTGTTTCCACTCTGCATATCCCCATCAAGGCCTGGCACCCTGGACAGCACTCAGTAGATAATCAATAACTACTTACTGACTGAATGATTGATTGACTTATGCACATTGCATTTGGATTCCAAGTACAGAAGCCCTTGAGGATGCCCTGGTTTTCCTACAAATCATTTGAAATAGACCTCTACCACATGGTGAAAAGTTCACTGATCTTTTGCACATGGGAAAGTTGAAATACAAAGAGAGGATTAAAATACTCTTAGTCAAGCAGGGGATTAGTGATAGCTACAAGCTAGAATTAGAGTCCACTGAATTTAGAGTCATTGAACCATGCTTTTTTTTCTGACGTAGGTAGCTTTTTTCACCTGTTAATCTTTGATGTTTAAGCTATAGCACATTGCTATATGACTCTGCCTCTCTTCCTTTTTTGTTTTGTTTTATTTAATTTTTAGTGACTCTTACAGTAAAAATGGATGTAATTATCTATCATAGTGGTTGCTTTTCATTTCTTAGTTGGCCTTCAAGGATCAGGAACTGTGCCTTATATGCCCTTACATTTTTGGTGTCTAGCATAGTACCTGGCACATAATAGATGTTTAATAAGTATTTGTTAAATGAATGAATATTATCAGATAAAATAATTTTTTTAGAGTACTGAACAATTAACATGCCTAAAACCTCTTTATAGCATTGAAGATAGTTAAACATTTAAACTGTCTTATTTAATTCATAACAACCTATTCTTAATGCTGAATCATAATTCCTTTGCCTAGTTATTGTCCTTTAGGGATTAAATAAGAAATTTAACTCACAATAGCATCATCCTTGATGTGATTCCTAAACTATAAGCTAAACTAGGCTTTAATTTCCACAAGTAAGAGTATAACACTTACATATTTATGGAAAGAAAATAACTTTTCTGAACTGTAATAAGAGGTAATATAAGAAGACAGAATTATTGGCCCCAAATTAGCAAAAAGATCTTTTAAGCCTGACTCATCTGTGCCTTATGGATTTCATAACTGATGATTAGCTTCTCTTAATCAGTTGAACATCCATTTAAGGAATAAATTGATTAGATACTTACATAATTAACCAAACAGTAAGTACTATCAGTTTCTGTTGAAAAAATTGTTTTGATTAACAGCAAATATGTGCTGTTTAATGTTAAGACATTAAATGGTATTATCTCAAATCATTATCTGCTATTTTTCAAAATGTTAAGGAGTTGTTTGCAGCTAGTTCAGTGACCAATGTTTGAAATTTCAAAAAAAGTTTAATTTTTATTTTTATAGCTGGCATTAAATTTAGTATAATTGTTCCTCAGAGAATGAGAGCATAAGAAATATATAACTATTAATAATAACCAATATTACTATGTGAACAATTTGTGTTAACTCTTTACATAGTGAAATAGTGAACAACATGGTCCTGAGGCACAGAATAAGGAAAACAATTAAATATTAAACTTTTACCAATCATTTAAAAAAGAATTGATGAAAAAGGAGGATTGACAAGGACGTTAAAATGGAGAGAATGGTTATTAAAGACATCAAGAGCCATACAGGGCAAGATTCATGAGCCAATAGAGATTAAAGAGTTGAACAATGTGTAAATATAAAAAAGTAGAAGTGAACAAGATGTTGGAAAAATGAAAGATGCAAAAGGCTCTTCCTGCTGAAGCCAGGTCCAAGGAGATATTCAAATGAGGAAGAACAACTGGGACATGGATCTTACAATCCACAGGGGGTCAGTAAAGTTGTTTAAAGATGTGCTATGCCAGTAGTCCATAGAAAATTGCATTAAGTTACACAAACACATAATTAAAACTAAGCATTCAGAATGTTAGGTAGTACCATTCTGAGCCAGATGGTAGTTGATTCTAACTACACCTTGGGCACTGAGGAGCTAATTAGTCTTTGCAAGAGGGTGTTCAGGTGTCAGTCAATTCTGAAGTTAGTGCTGAGCAGGACAGCTTAATGGATATACTGGAATATTTCAAATTGATGAGGCCTGAGGCAAGTTTCACACACTGTTTGCAGAAGTCAGGAACTCAGAGAACATGAAGGGAATTTGATTTAGACCTGTTTCTGAAAGTCTACAAGTATGTGCTATGTTTTTGCCTTTTTAATTCTTCATCTCAAATCACTAGTCCCAGTAAGGATTAGTCTAAAAGAGGACTGTTTTATAGGCTCCAGTCAATGGCTTACTGAAATATTAATCTAAAATTATTGTATTATTTTAATATTATTATATTTTACTTCTTCACTAAGGGATGTTTGGGTATGACGATGTAAATATTATCTGAATGGTAGCAGAGACCACATAATTCCTGAGAAACAGTCAAATAACTTGAGTTCCACTAGACCAAACTTCTCAAACTTACAGTTCATAAGTTTTGCCTAGCTAACAAGTTGAAAATACAGATTCCCAAAATCATCAGTGATTCTGATTCAGTTAAGTTTGGGGTGGGAACTGGGAATATGTACTTTTAACAAATACTGATAGGAGATCTATGGACCATCCTTGAAAATCACACACAAGCCACGAGTTCCTTGAGGGTAATGACAATTATTTGCTTTTTATAATTGCTTCAGGATCTAATGTGATGATACTTGGCAGTAGTTAATAATGATTTGTTGAGTGAATGAATGAATAAATAAATAAATAAATAAATAAATAAATGAGTGAACTTTATGTCTCATGAATATTTCTCACTCTGACTTATTCTCACTTAATATCAAAGGATTTTTAGGTTCTGTAATGTCTGCCTAGAAATACCAGTCTTAAATTCTTTATCCTAAATAACAGAATCATGTCTTCTAATCAGGGTTCCTGTACATTTAATCATTTCAACTTTTTTATTTTTATTTTTTAATATTATTCTCTTTTTTATTTTATGTTCTTTTCTTTTTCTTTTCAACATCTGTGTATACTATCATTCAACTTTTAAAAAGTATCCATTGAGCTCACACTATATCCCAGAAACTGTTCTTAACACTTGGGCTGTATCAATGAAATAGACAAAAATCTCTCCTGCATGGAGCTTACATTCTAGAGGTCTGAGATTTCAAATTATTTTCTGGTAATATAATTACATGTTATAAGTTCTTCACACCAAAGAGTTTCTTATAGAATCTTGAATTAAGTAAAAAATTCATTTTGGCAACTTTCAAAGCTCACTTAGGAGAAGAGAGATTGGCTTAAAGCACCAGGGAGTTTTATTTTTGCACATAAATATTTATATGTGTAAAGGGGTGTGTGGTTAATTATAAGCGACAGGAGGAGAATGACAGATGCTTAGATCCTCTGTCCCCATGGAGCGACAGACCTTGCTTGTTGGAGTGTAGTGGCACATCATGTGGTCTGTGTACTGAATCACTGATTTGAATATTGCAGCAGCTGGAGTGCAAAGTATATCAGCAAATACTACAGGAGGAGGAGTGCGTGTGTCCTGAATACAGAGTAAGAATAAAATAGGTTTGCATAGTCACATTGAGCAAGGCTGTTGATGCCCTTTTTCTTTTTATATTTCAGTTTCAAAGGAAAACTAGAGAAGGGCAACTGGACAGTCCAAGGATCACAGGCTGGACACAGGAAGGTAAATGAGTAGATGACCTGCTCTTTCTTCCTAAATCCTAAATTTGTATTCTCTGCAGAGAGGGGGTAGAGGGGAGAGAGGAGGGAGGAGAGAAGAGAGAGAAGGAGAGAGAGAGAGAGAGAGAGAGAGAGAGAGAGAGAGAGAGAGAGAGAGAGAGAGAGAGAGAGAGATTGAGATTGAGAGAGAGAGAGACTCTCATTCTTCCAGGGAAAACGTACTTAGAAAATTCATTTCCATAATGAAAGCACTAAACTAAACAGGTATAGTCCCTACTTCAGTGCTTATGAGGAAAATGAGGAGAAATTACAGTTTTCTTTAGCAACTTTCATTTTATTGCCTTTGCTTTTGTTGTGATAGGAAGTTCAAAATCCTTTTCTCAATTTTCCTTTAACAAATTATATCTATAAGGATTTTTCTAGTTTACACAGACCACCCCTTATGTTACTTACTATTATTTTCCCTATTATAGATTAGGAATCTGAGGCACAGAGTTTAAATGATGTTACACAGAGACAACTTATTTAGTAAGTAACAGAACAAAGACTAAATCCAGGTTCTCTGATTACAAAATCATTCTGCCCTTCTTACTTTTACTCCTTCTATTTTGTTGTTGTGGTTGTTTTTATTGTCTCTCTTCTCCCTTTATAACTCTCACAGTCAGAAATGACAGAAAAGCTGGAGGAGGGAGGCTGGTGGTGGGAGGTGAAAAAAATGGTTTACGCTGATGGGTAAGAACTTTTCTACTTACAGATATGGTGTAGGAAAAAAATAGAGTAAGAAAAAATAAAAAACAGCTTTAACAGAAGTATGAATTCAAACAGTAAATGAACAGATATATTTCATACTTGAAACAATGAAATTGATAAAAACCTTAACTCCATTTCTCAATGTTCTAGATCTCTACCACCTGTACTGAAGATTTCACATCATCTGGTGAACTTCCTAGAAAGATTACCTAACTAAAAAGTATCCCTCAAAGTCCCATGATATCCAAAGAAGAGCCAGAAAAGCCACCTCAGTCTCACCCTGAAAATGTCCATGATGTTCATCAGAAATTATGGCCCATGGTCATTTAACATGCTAATTCCTCGTAAGTCTGAGTCATAACTCGCTATCCATGTTGACACCAGTGAGTTTTGTAATGTTCATGTGGAAACAGCAGGGAACAGAGAACTGGATTCCATTCTGCTTCATGCCTCATCAGCCAGATGGTTGGCTGTATCAAAGCCAGTAATGCTGATGTCAGAGGCGAGAGAACACAGCTGGATTTTCAGGTTCAAGGGGAAAGAGGGAATCTATAATGCTTAAAGTTCAGGAGAAAATTGCCTTTGGACTAGTGGATAGAGCCAACTAGAACTGATGGGGAGTTTTTAATGTTAAGTCCTATAGCAACATTTCTGTGTAATTGCTTTTTGGGCCATGGTAGGATTTGAATCCTTTTTATCTCACACCTGCTAACAGGCCACTGGTGCCAGTCAGCTAGCTATTGTGTTCCAGATCTGAGAATATTCTAGCACAGGCATATTAGACTCCCTAAAACTTCTGACTACTACTGTGTTATCCCTAAATTTCTGGGGACTAGCTTGAAACCAAAACATGCAAGGATGGAAAATAGCTTAGAAGACCAGTTCCTAAGAAGTTGTTGATAAAGATTTTATTTTTATGAGTATATCAGCATAATGTTGCACTTGGACTGGGATTTGCGAAAGGTAATACATGTCATTTTTTTCTGGCTTGGTCATGCTAGGGCTAGCAAGAAATCTAATTGCAGCCATATGGGACAAGGGACGGGGAACCTGGCTATTTCCCTACCAGGGCTTACACAATGTAAGAATGTAATGGGTAAAAGGGCCCCAGGTCTTTATTTTATCATGTTTGTTGTTAAGATGTTCATTGTCCAAACAAACCTGGTCCATTTGAATGTGAGCACTCCTTATACAAATTTGGCCATGGCTCCAAAGGCCACATTGCATCTGGTATCCACATTAGAGGTCTTACCACTTCTGGGCCACTGCGTGAAAGTGGAGTCCAAGTCCTTTATTCACATGTGAAACAAACAATATTCCTCTCCCCTTCCAAAAACTTTGCAGGCTATAGGAATCCTTCTCCCTCTCTGTCTTTCTAGAGTTCAGGCCATTAATCCCTTGTTTTCCAAGTACCAGCTTCTTCCCAAATAAAGATCTAGAGTGAGTTTGGGTTAGTGGGAGGGGTGTTGCCTTTGGGATCTCTTCTGAAACACAAAGAATCTACTATCATAATTCCTGCAAAGCAAGGGATACTAATCACACAAGCATGATTATTCTTCTTGGAAGGGAGGTAAGATGAAAATTTCCCTTTTATTCTTTGTATTGTCCTACTGCAGCAAGAATAAGGCAAAATTAATATCTCAGTGAATCATTCTGCTACAGAGAAATAGGTGACTTGTAGGTTATTGAGGTTCAGTGAAGACTTGTGGGCTATGCACATACTATCTATGATTGAATCAAGTTCGGGCATTAGGACAGAGGATGATTGAGCAATGATTTGCAGATGAGTGCTTGATCCAGGAAGATCAGGCAGTACTTCACTGGGGCAATAAATGTGGCATCTGGTGTCAGGAGAGTAACAAATCCAGAGAGGGAGGGCTATTTAGACCTAAATGTGCAGGACACCAATAAACAGTATTTCTGTTGCCAGGAGTCTTTGCATATAAGTGTGTATAAAATGCTTAAGCAGTAATCGGTCTGTGATGCTGCAAAAAAAGACAGTTTCTCCCACAGCTGCTGCAGCACAAGGGGTGCCATGGATTTTAACCCCCAGGAATTAACCTATGTAAATGACTGCTGGGTGACAGGGAAGATTTTTTCAAAAAGCAGTCAGCCCAGAAGTAGCTCTTTTCTTGCCAACATTCTGGGTGATTTATACAACTGTTCCCACTGAAGAGTGCAAAGAGAAAAAATTTTGCAGCAGAATGTGATTGTAGAAGTGGAGGCAAGAGATGTCCCCTGAAGTTGTAATAGTTGCACAGAAGCAGAGTGAAAAGATCAGTGGGACCAAGGCAAAGACATTTATTTTAGCTATAACACTGAACTGATGAGATAGAGTTAACAGTTAACACTTCGGCTACATGATTTTTATTACTGTCTATTATTTTAAAATAGTAACTACTGAATACTTGTTGTACTTATGATATTTTACAATAAAATAAAGAAAAAATAACATAGATTACAATTTTGCTAAGTTCCTATGGTAGATTGCAAAAATGTCTACAAATTTGTCTATACTACTGATGGTGCCTGCCTACTCTGACTCTGAGCTAGGACACATGACTTTTGTTGGAAAATGGGAAAATAGGAAATGTGACACAGGCATACTGGAAAAGTACTTGAGTAGTGGAGTTGTACTGTTGCTTCTTTTAGAAGCCTGAACAGTCATGTGAACAAGCCTATGCTACCCTGTGAAAGGATGGAGCACATGGTTTACCTCCCTACCTCCCAGATCATCAGAGCCGACAATAAGCTGAACTCCAGAAGCAGGATGAACTAGCTGATCAGCAACTGACTGTAGGTATTGGAGCAAGGTAAATTAAGACCAGTAGAAGAATTTCCCAGAGAAGTCCAACCCAAATTGTGACTTACCCAATTGTGAGCTCAATAAATGGTTCTTGTTTTAAGCCACTAAGTTTTTAGAATATTTTGTTATGCAGGTTTGTTATACAGCAATAGATAATATATATTGCTTTGCACATATGGCTTATTTAATTTCACAATAGCCCTATAAAATAAATATTATTACAAGTCTCATTTTACAGAGGAGGAAGCAGAGGCAAAGAAGGAATGAGAACATGGACCAGTCTTACACAACTTATAAATAGTAGGACCGAGATTGAGACAGTCTGATTCCAGTATTCATACACTTAACTGCTACACATGATTAAACATTAACTTATGTTTAAACCAATAAAACAAACCAAAAAAAAACCCCATCTTCAAAAAATGGTTGAACTATTTTCTTTTTTAAAAAATCACTTTATTATGTAGGTATGATTGACATACAAAAAGCTGTACATATTTAAGCTATACAACTTAATGAGTTTGAAGAGAAGTATACATCTTTGAAACCATCACCACAGTCTATGCCATAAACATGTCCATCATATCTAAATATTTTCTCCTGCCATCTTTATTTATTGTTATTATTATTACTTTGTGGTAAGAACATTTAACATAAGATCTACCCTCTTAGCAAATTTTCAAATAATCAATACAGTACTGTTAGCTATAGGTACAATGCTGTATAGTAGATCTCTAGGATTTATTCATCTTACATAACTGAAATTTTGTATCCTTTTACTAATACTTTCCCATTTCCCTCTTACCCCAGGCCCTGGTAACCATCATACTACTCTCTGCTTCTATGACTTTGGCGAATTGAGATTACTCATATAAGTGGTATCATGTACAATAGTATTTGTCATTCTGTGTCTGGCTTATTTCACTTAACATAATGTCCTCCAGGTTAGTCCAGTTGTTGCAAGTGGCAGAATTTTCTTCTTTTGTTAAGGTTGAATAATATTCTATTATATGTACATACCACTTTTAATTAATTCTTTCACATGTTTCAAAAATGTCTTGCATTAAAGAGGATCCTTCAGGGAACTTCTGGCCATGATGGTGTAACATGGACCGTATGTACTTACCTTCCTTAAATAACTATAAAACTGGACAAAATAGTTGAAATAGATTTCAGGAATTGGACAAAAGGTGCCACAGAGCAGTGATCCCTGAGATGAGGAAAACAAATGAGGTCAAACCTATAATTGTATTAGCTTATTATCTAGAGAGAGCTTCCAGGCTGCATCACAGGGAAGGGGAATCCAAACAGAAACTCAGTTGAAAAGACAGAATTTAGAGTTTAGGCAGACCAAGGTGGCTAGAATTTGCAGGGCAAAGTGTAGGAGAGGTGAGAGTTTCATAAAGGAATATCATCAGTTATCTGCAAAGGTAACCCTTGAATCTTTGGATCAGAAAATATCTACTTCTGCATGTGAGAAAATGACCTCAGATCATGGAAAGAACCCTGGAAAGGAGTAGGTAGATCACATAGACTTGGGAATAGTTGGCGTTCTCACTAGCCAGAATAGTAAGACCTCCTAATATAAAAGGCTAATCCTCAGAGAGATATGGCCTTAATAGCAGGACAAAACTAACCATAGATTAAAAGTTCCTTGTAATCCACACTAACAAAGCTTAAGAGCAAAACCTGAAGTGGTAAAAATTATTCTAAGTAACTTTCCAAGCATCCCAGAAAAAAAGCTTAGCAATACTTAAAGTAATATGACAAATCTAGAACCCAACAACTTAAAATTCAGAATGCCCCACATTCAGGAAAAATTACCAGGCATCAGAAAAAGCAGAAAAATATGATCCATAACAAGATGAAAAATCAATAGAAGAATACCCAGAAACAACAGAGGTGATGGAACTATCTGACAAAGATATTAAAACACCTATCTCCATATGTTTGAGAGGGAAGAGGAAAGCAATAAGGTGACAAGAGAAAGGGAAGATAAAGAAAAGAACCCAAACAAACTTCCAGAAATGAAAAATACAATGTCAGAAATGAAAACTGGATTAAATAGGATTCATGGATAATTAAAACTTTGCAAAATAAAAGATCACTGAATGTGAAGACATTGCAATATAAACTATCTAAAATGAAACATATAAAGAAAAAATGTCAGTAACAAAAAAATCAGTGATTCATGGAACATTATCAGGTGGTTTGTGTACATATAATTGCAGCCCCAGAAGGAGATAACAAGAAAGAGGGGGCAGATACACATTAACTGAATAGTCGTTAAAAATTTCCAAATATGATGAACCCTATGAGTCCACAGATCCAAGAAGTTAAATGTATCCCAAGTAGAAGAAACAGAAGAAAACTATACAAAGCACTGCTGAAATCCAGGGATGAAGATAAAATGTCAAAGCAGCTAGAGATAAAAGACATGTTACATGCAGAGGGACAAGGATATGAATGATAACATTACTTCTTGTTAAAAACCATGCAAATTAGAATACAGTGGAATAATATCTTTATAGTATGGAGGGAGAAAACAATCTGTCAACCTAGGACTTTATATTCAACAAAAATATCTTTCAAAAAATAAAGACAAAAAAAAAAGATGTTCTTGTAAAAATAAAATTGACAAATCTATCACCAGTAGAGTACACTGCAAGAAATGTAAAATGAAATTCTTTAAGTAGAAGGAAAATAATACTAGATGGAAATATGAATCTATATGAAGAAATGAAAAAGACTGGAAATGACAAATATATGAGTAAATATAAAAGAGATTTGTCTCATTAAAAACTCCATAGAAGAGGGAGGATCAAGATGGCGAACGAGAAACACCACCAGACAGAGTGTCTCTGCAGAAAAGAGATTCTAGCAGAAATTAGAAAAAAGAAGCAAGAAGACGAGCATACAGCGGATAGCATTTTTTTTTATTTCGGCATATTTGGGGTACAGATTTTAAGGTTTCAATAAATGCCCATTTCCCCCCTCCCCCCACAAGTCTGAGTCTCCAGCATGACCATCCCCAGATGGTGCACATCTCACTCATTATATATGTAATATACCCGCCCCTCCCCCCCACCTGCCCAATACCCTATTACTGTAGTACCTATGTGACCACTTAGGTCTGTTCAGTTAATACTAATTGCTGGTGAGTATATGTGGTCTGTTTTCCATTCTTGGAAACTTCACTTAGTAGTATGGGTTCCAGCTCTAACCAGGAAAATATAAGATGTGCTGTGTCCATGTTTCTTAGAGCTGAATAGTACTCCATGGTATACATATACACATTTTATTAATCCATTCTTGGATTGATGGAACCACTAAGGGCTGTTTCCAGCAAGGCCTTGGCCTTATGCAATTG